GGCTAAATAAGAGTTTTCTGAGAAACAAGGAGGTGGAAGGATGTTCCAGTCAGAGAGAGTAGTATATATACTGAGAAAAAGAGAGAGAGTGTGTGTCTGAGTTGTAGGAAATTTCACCCCACCTGTCTCTCCTCGCCACAGCAGACTCTGCTAGAAGATGTGGAGGGTCACAGCTGCAGACAGCTGGTTGTGCCTGCCCTGCTGGAGTTCTCATTTCTTCTCTTATACCTGTCTGCTTAGAGAGGAGCAGGTGGGCTGTGAAGCTCTGTGGGACTCTTCTCAGAACTGGGGCTGGAAGAAAAATGGTGGAGACAGCCGCTCAAGTCACCAGAGTACAACACCTGCTCCCCGCCCCTCAGTTGTGCAGCTCAGCCCTCAGCTCCCAGCAGTGGGAGGAGAGACCAAGGAGCATGCATGACCAAGACCCTTATAGTCAGGGTAGAGACCAGGGAGTATGCAGTGAGAGGAGAGACTAGGGAGCATGTGTGACCAAGACCCTTAGAGGTAGGGCCCTGAGGGCAGGTTCTAGAGGTGGAGAACAGGTCTTCCAGTTGTCTTCTTGGCAGCAGAGGAAACAACAGAGTCTGGGGTCTGGCTGGCTCAGTTGATGTCTGTCTTCCCCTAGTCTCCTTAAGCTCTAGATAGAGCCTGTAGGCCCTGACTGTCAAGTCATTGAGCTCACCCTGACCAGCCTGGCTCTGAATGCAGAGCCCAGCGTGGCAGTGGGGGTGGGCTGGTACAGTTGTGCTTCTATGAATACAGCATCTGAGAGCTGGGAGACCCTAGGCACCCAGGGCCCACAAGCCCAGTTGCTCCCCTCTCTGTAGGTGCCCAGGCCCATTGCTGGTTCCTGGTTTTACCTGTTCTTTTCCACTAGGATAAGGCCTTAACATCCAGCTTCACTTTTGGAAGTAAGGCCACCTCTAGGGGCTATTCCTGGTCCCTGATCCCTCCTGCAGTTTGGGAACCCGCTTCACCCAGGAAGGTCCCACCTTGCCCCACCTAGATATTCCCCACTTCACCTTTGTATCTGTGTGCTGAATAGGCTCTCAGGTGCAGCTGGATTAGACTCAATTTGGCCAAAAGGCTTTGGATCTATCTAGTAATTTGAAATCCAAGCTGCTCACTGCTCAGCCACCTGCAAAGCAGGGTCTAGCCCCTGGCCTGGTTCTCCCTCCTCCTCAGTCTCATATGTGTGTGTCTGAGTACACATGTGAGTCAGTGATCGTGCTGTGATGGCTGGTGGAACTGTGTCAGTGTGCATGTTTGCTCATAGAGGCCATCACATGTAGTTGTGCATGGTGTGCTGTAGTCTGACTCTAAGTCCATTGTGAACATGAACATGCCTGCTGTGCCTGGAAGGGGCTCAGTATGCATGACATTCATGTACACATGTATGTGTCTATCTACAGATACATACAGATATCTCCAATATGTATGTACACACATATACACACTTATGTGTATGTGGCTAGCTAAGGATGTGTCTGAGTGTCCTTGTCCGAGATAGGCCTTTTGCCCATTCTGAAAGGAAAGGGGACACGGGTCCAGTCTTCTTTCTGGTAGTCCCACTGGGGACTGGGCTGGCTTGTGACCAAGACATGGAACTGAGTGGCCTCGGAGCCTCCTGGAATCTTTCTGTCTAACACTCTGGGACTTCCCCAGCTCTCCCTTGT